CTCGCACGACCAGGCCATTTCTCATAACACGAACGACCAGGGGGGGGGGTTGTTACGACCCCCGCCCCTGGCGTTTCGAAACGGAAGGTCGTAGAGCTTAGAGGAAAAAACCAACGGATTGCTCTCAACGAGATCTCGCGATTGGTGGTATATTTTTTGGTCCTAGGTCAACATTTGACCTACTTTTGACCGGTCAAAGGTCAAATTTTCGGAAAAATAGACTTTTTTCAACTTTCGGCGGCGATTGCAGCAAAACGGTGGGAGATATCGACTTGAAACCTTCACTATCGTGTTCCTTGATCAATTCTCTATCGTTTGGTATGTATTTCGTTTCCCTAGCTCTAAAAATGGCGCGTTGGGAGCGCCGGAAGTCGGCAAGGTCACAGTCGGCGGCAGAAATTCGAAAAATCAAAATTTAAATTTTTGAAATCTGATTGTATTTTTGGATTTGGGAGGTCCATTTGCTCCCTATAGAAGCTAATATTGCTGCATATTCCCATTGAGGTGACAAGAATTAGCAAAATAGTGGTTCGGGCGCTTTTCAAAAATAGTACCGGACGCTGTTCCTCTTGTGACGTCATAACTCCGTGACCTGATCTGACCCGGTCAATTTTCTTGCACCACACGATAGCCAATGCTTGCCCCAACATGCATAGGAAGTTTCATCATGATCCATCAAACAATGTGGGTATCACCGGCAGAAAACCTAGGGATTCGGCGCACACGTTTGGTAACTGTCGGCCGGAGGCTGTACCTCTTATGACGTCATAACTCCGTGACCTGACATGACCCGATCAATTTTTTTTCGGCAAAAGATGCGCAAAGGTTGCCCCAGAGGGTATTGAAAATTTCAGCCCGCTACGACAAGCCGTTTAGCGTGCACTTCGAAAAAACCTCAGGGGGGGGGGGTTGATACACCCCCCCCTAGGCGTTCTAGGGTTAAGGACTTATGTGTTTGTATGCTCTTTGTAGGTGCTCTTTGTCACCCTTCCGTGACCGCGTTTTCAGCCGCTAGCATATAATTGGGGGGGGGGGGAGATTCTGTTGGATCCCCAATCGTTCAGTCCCTAACCGAACTATAGCTTCGCGAAAACATGAACGTCCTACCGTAACTAAAGGAAGCCGATGGTACCCGATTTTAAGATCGCCGGTCATTAGTTGGCATTTTAATTCGGGTAAATGACTTAAAAGTCAGGGAAATCGTGGCCTATTTTAACTTTTTAAAATGAGGTTGTTAGTGAGTTTTTTCGGGGTTCTGATTTCCAATTTCGTGCTAGTTTTGATCAAAGACGATGTATCCGTGCATTTTGGGTAGGTGGGGCCAGGTCAGCTCAACCATTAGGCGTCACCGCCGACATCCAAATGGGTGTTTACCGCCACCAACAGCTTAGTTACACATAAAGATATGATGTGGACTGTGGAGTTTGTTAATGCAATAAGTGAATGAGAGCTTCACTCCACAAGAAATCGTTCGGGTCGGAGCTTTCAAATTGTATTTACAAAACTTCGTCAGCGAGTCGTAATCGGGTTCAGGGGGTATCGGTCGCAAAATATGTAGCATAGACACTAAAACTATTTCTTACAATGCACAATGGGACCGGAGCGAGAATTAGCGCGACATCGGTACTTTTTTTATAAGGTGTGCCAAAAACGGCGGCGCTCCGCGCTGCCGTTTTTGAGATATTTGTGAAAAAAAACACAGGGGGGTGTGGTGTGTTCAAACACCCCCCCCCCCCAGCAGGGTGCGGGTTAAACACCGATGATGCACCGTTATGTTAAACGCCATGCGATTGACTAACCGGAGCCGGGCCGGTGCTCGGCGCCACCTGCACTGGGGGGAGGGGGTGTTTGAACACCCCCCCCCTTCTCACTCGGCTCCTGGGCCACGTAGCGACACGCCGTAGACGGCGTTCGAAAGAGCGGCAGAAGTAATGAAGAAATTATATCGGCCACATTTTAGGTCAGCTCAAAGGTCAGGTCAACAGAGGTCACCAAAGGTAAAATTTCGCCACTTTCCAGGTCAAACTTCGATAATTTCGACAAACCGGCGCAAAGATTAGGAACGGTTTAGCGTGCAGGGGCCAAAAACTGCCAGAATAGGTAGATGGTTTTTGCGGGAACTGTTTTTCTGCAATACCTTTTGACTCAAAACATGCACGAGCTTACTTTCAGCAGCATCATGTTCCTCTCGTCAAGGCGACGCATCGAAAGAACCATAAGTTGACCTCAAAAGTTCAACTTGAAAAATTTACTTTAGGTCAAGGTCATGACCTCATGACAAGGTCATGACCTCAGGTCAATGTCATGACCTGACCAGAAAAGGTCATGCTGCATCAGTCGATCCGTATTGTCGAGCCAAACACATACATATAAGGTTTTTTCATCGCTCTAGCACAGGGGTCGGCAAATGGTGGGGCATGCCCCCTTTGGGGGTAATGGAGCCCTTTCGGTATGGGTAATTAGGGATTCTGAGAAAGCCTATCTTTTTAGAGTTTGTAGCTCCAGTGATGGAGCCATCGTGACTGTTGCATCCCAGGGTTCAAAGATTAGCCCAGGCCAAAGGCACAGCACACATTGATTAGATACCAATTTTCATGTACCTGCTCGCCCCACCATCTCACCCCTCCGTACAGTCGTACAAAAGCAGCTGCAACTTTTAACTGTCGCCCGTCTGTTGGCGTTTCAACAGCCGCTAACGTAAGGGGGAGGAGTCGATCGGACCCCCGCGGCCTCTCGGACTCTGAGATGGAGCTGTGCATAAAAAAGACGAGCGTGCTACCCGTGACAATAGGAAGCCGCTGCTGCCCATTTTTAAGGTCCTTGGTCATTCCGTCTCATTCAAGAGGGCAATGACAAGTGTCGAGAAAATCAGAACCCGCTATAACTTCTTGAAGTGAGAATTTATGGCTCAAGATGATCTACAGAAAAAGCTCATAAGCCAACGGTCATTATGGGTCCAGAGGCCAGTTTCACCAACAGAAAAATAGCCGCCTGCCGGAATTGTTTGCCTAAAGATCGTTTCACATATGGAGCGTAAACGGTAAAGCCCTATCCGCTTACGAGCCCATCGCGTTTACGCTCCGTATGTGAAGCGGTCTTGAGGCAAAAATTCCGGCAGGCGGTTATTTTTCTTTTGGTAAAACTGGTCTCAGGTCATGATATTTTCCGGGCTGGTAAAAAAAAATGATGGGCTCGAGGGTACAATTTGGTCGTGATCCAATGCCTTTTACGTGAGCTTTTAACGAAAAACCATCCGCCACCCCTATACGTACAAGGGTTAAATGGGATATAGCATAGGCGGCGGAACGGGGAGGGCACCGGGGCACCGTGTCCCCTTTGATTTTTGCATTTTAACATTAGCCCTATGGCGTTGCATGGAAAGAATGGGACCAAAAGTCGGCAGTGCCCCCCCCCCCTCCCCCTTAATTGAAGGTGTTCCGCCGCTACTGGGATATAGGTATTAAATGTTTTGTGGAGGAAGTGTCATGTTTTAAATTTGATGCATTGGAAATGTACAAATACCTAAAGAGTTCCAGGACGGTATGGAATTTCAGTAAACTTGGTTGTGTCAGCAATGGGGTCTGGTAGGTGGGGTAATGGCCCTGCCTGGCGCCCAAAAAGGGGGCACGACCCCGAATGACCTGCCGACCACTGCTCTAGCATGTCTCTGTCAAAAGTTATTTGCGAAAAACTGTAGGATACTATTCGTGACCTGAGATGACCTCAGGGACATAAAGAGGGGTCACGGGTACCATTTTCCGGTTCAGTTTGTCATGTCTACTTGTAATTCGATATTTGAAAGTGATTAGAATGACGTTCGGCCAAAAGAGGCGCCTTTCAATTTTCTCCCATTGACTTATAATGGAGAGGTCGCAAAATTGAACTGACCTTATAGGTCACCGATATCGAAATTCCGAGAGATACATTTTGTGTATCATTATTATAATTATTGTATACATTATGTGTATTGTGTATACTGTTGTTTTATCAGTTGCTCAAAGTTTCAAAGTGATCAGTCACTCGGTGTAGCTGTGACAGGCATTGAAACTTTTCATGTAGTAAGATCACTTGACGTGATATGGTGACCTGACCTTGGATGACTTTGGTCTGAAGTTTTCACAGAAGGTGTAGAAAAGATGTATGATAAGATGTGCAAAACACGGCGGCACTCTGAGCCGCCGTTTTTTAGATATTCGCGAGAAACCGGAGGGGTTGTTCAAACAGTTCCCCCCCCCGCAGTGCGTGGGTAGGGCTATGTGACCAAGGATGAAGGTGTTACATACCTATGCACGTTTGCCTCATTTACCTACATATGCACACCCGCCAATATAATAGATTTCTCACGGTCTTGATGCCCGCTTCTCCTCGTCGCCTGCTCGGCACCGGTCCACGCGGCACCCGCAGCGTCGATAGTCGGCCGGTGCAGCGTTCAGAGGTATCGTGTTCCCGCCTGCTCGGAACCATTCCCCTCGGCACCCTCCGACCGCCCGCAGCGTCGATAGCCGGCCGGTGCAGCGTCCAGAGGTATCGTGTTTCTAAGGGACTTAGTGGCATTCCACTCTATTTCCTGGTGGCTTCCAAAAAACCACTGCCACAGCACCATTACCCCATCTGGTGGCTGACTTGTTAAATATCAATTCACCCGGCGTCAACCAGAGGCATTTTGTACCTTCCGATTTTAGACGATGCGATTTTGTATGATACGATCATCTCGTTTTGTAGGTTGCAATTTTGTATGATACGCGTTTGTTTGATCTGCCATTGTACGTTCCAATTTTGTACGTTCTGATCATTGTTTGATTTGCCATTGTACGCTTTACCCATTGGACGGTAAACTTTTGTACGTTGGGATTTTGTACGCTGCGCTTTTGTACGTTTGGGCTGTCCCCTACCTGGCCTGTTTTGTAGGTTTTGCTCGTTGTATGTTGCGATTTTGTATGTTTTGAGGATTGTACGCTGCGCTTTTGTATGCTTTGATAGCCACCCGTTGTTGCGCGCAGCCCTGGCCGGCCTGCCCTGCACGGTGGTCGTGCCTCGCGACACTGCAGCTGTGAAGGTGGACGCCATTCGGGCCTACGGCGCTCACGTGCTGCTCTGCGAGCCGACTGTCGACGCCAGGTATGCACTCCTACTGGGCAGAGGGGACAGTGGCGCCGCCGCCTAGCGGACGGAGCCCGACGGTGGCACCGTCGGAGGGGCGGCGTCGGCCAGGCACTGCGGAGGGGCTCTATCCGTGCACTGGGTGATGGCCACGCCAATAGATACACTCCAGTTGACTGCTTCGTCCCACCGCGTAGCCACCCGTCCTTCGGTCTGACGGCCCCGTTGCTCGCTCAGGCGGGAGGTGTGTACTGTGTTCGGTCCCCCGGTGTGGGCCGTCCCTCTGACTGCCGGCTGCATCCCTCCGTGTCCCGTCCCCGCTCAGGTGGGAGGAGTGTTCCGTCCCCGAGTCTGTCCCTGGGTGTGTTCCGCCCCTCGGTCTGACGGCGGCACCCCTGGCTTTGACACCCGCCTCCTCTGCCCAGGCGAGAGGTGTGCGCGGCCGTGGCGGCCCGCACCGGGTTCACAGTTGCCGAGTCCAGTGACAGCTGGGACACCATGGCCGGACAGGGCACCATTGCGCTCGAGCTGCTTGAACAGGTGAGTCTGCAGGCGGTGCGGCCGGCAGTCCTGGCGGCTCCGTGCTGCAGCCAGCCCCGCTGGCCGCTCCTGTCGGTGTCACCTGCCGCCTGCTCGCTCCTCTATCCCGGGAATGGAGACGACGCTGTACGGTATACATACGATGGATAGCTTGCAACTGGCTGTGTGTCTCTGGTGGTGTCGGCAGGTCCCCGATCTGGACGCCGTCCTGGTCGCAGTCAGCGGCGGCGGCATGGCAGCCGGCATCGCGGCAGTGATCAGCGAGCTCAGGCCAGAGTGTAAAGGTAAGCCCAGTCCCAGAGGGTACACCACAACACCACAGAGGGTACACTCAGCACCTCAGAAGGTAAACCCTACATTCTTTTATTGCGTGAGTACCGGACTATCCGGTACCCAGTATTTCCTGCGGTAGCCGGACTCTGTTGTGTGCCTGCAGTGTTTGCCGTGGAGCCGCAGGGGAAGGAGCTGGGCGCGAGTCTGCGCGCCGGCCGCGCGCTGTGGCCGCCGCTGCCGGGCGGCCGGCTGCTGGACACGCTGGCAGACGGCTGCCGGCTGCCCGGCTGCGGCCGGCTGGCCTTCCCGCTGCTCTGCCGGCTGGTGGGGCCGCGCGTCATCACCATCGCCGACCGGCAGATCGCCGCCGCCACGCGCGCCTTCTGGCAGCACACCAAGGTACCTACACGGGGTGAAACTCACTGCCCTCGACTCTTATCGTCCTGGGAAGCACATGTGTCCGAGCTTAGTCGTCGGTGTACTGGCTTGTTGGTCGGACTGTCTCACGCACGAAATTGTCTCCCTGACGGTGTCATTAAAGTCCTCGTTACATCTCTTGTCATATCACGGATCAACTACTGCCTCACTGTGTACGGTAACGGGACTCAGAAAAATTTTGACCGACTCCAGAAAATTTTGAACTTTGCCGCTAGAGTGATCTTCGGACGGCGTAAGTTTGACCACGTCTCGGACCTGCGTGACAGACTTGGCTGGCTATCACCAAAATCCATGTCAGATTACCTGACACTCACGATCGCGCAAAAGGTCATTAAGCATGAAGAGCCCGAGAACCTCGCTGCACTGTTCGTCCCTAACCAAAATTTTCGAGACAGGCACACACGGCAGGATCATCTCCTTCATCTTCCCCGGCCGAGGCTTGAAACTGGAAAACGGCGTTTTGAGTACCGTGCCGCGGCGCTATTGAATAGCCTCCCACCCCAGGTAGTGCAGCTGCCACCTGCCAGCTTCGCCCGGTCTGCCAGGGCCGCGCTGATTAACAAATCCCCGCTACGCCGCTGACGAGTCTGTTTAGTAGAAGCAGGGCATGCCGCCAATTGGTGGACGATCTGTTTGTGCTTATGTATATATATTGTTTGTCTTGTGTACATATGTATATGATTATTGTCGCGACCCCCATCGATGGATGACTGTCGTCTAGTGCTGAGTGTTCTTCCCCCTGCCCGCATGATTGTTACCCATTATACTCGGATCTAAGCCGTAATCGCCACGCCATATGTGGAAGGCTTTTGGTGTCAATACATACATACATACATACATACAGGTAAATCGACTCTAGAAACATGTAAAACTCGAAGAAGTGAACCGAGTCGAGGGCAGTGGTCGACTCTTGGTCTCGACTCTTGGTCATCAAAGGTCAATGACCTGACCTTCAGGTAACCTTGACACCCACCCTAATGCATGGGGGTAACATCATATCGCATGTTTGAACGCTTGAAACCACGAAACGACTGCAAATGCGCTGCTAATGCGAGCCGACATACACCGAATCGCGATTCCAGCCAAACATGGTCTCTAAAAGTAGGTCACAGGTCAAAGGTCATTTCGGTCAGGGTCATGAAATTTTCAGGGTAGGTGTAAAATTAATTAACGCGAGAATACTGAAAGTTTCGTCGCGATCTTCCACTTTTTACGGGAGTTCTTTGCGAAAAACCGAGGGGAGGGGGGGGGTCCGTTCGACTCCCCTCCCCCCCTATACGGGCGAGGGTTAAAGGGACCCTCCCACCTTCAAAAAAGTTTATGAATTAGCATGAAAGTGATGTCGCTCGGTTCAGAAAGAGCGAAAACGAATATCTACCAAATTTCACCGAAAAATATTCACCGGTTTTCAAGATATTAGACTTGTACTTTTGTTTACTTTTTTGGGATCTCCGCTGTTTCTAGCGACTTTATTTTAGAAGTGCGGCGTTTGCGGCAGATGTTGCGCTCAAATAGCATATACCACCGCGTGCTACAAAACGTTTTAGTCAAACATTTAAAAATCGTTAGATATTTGTGCTGACGTCACACATTCAGAGGGGTATTCCTAAGCATTAGCCCCTCTGAATCAAAATGCTGCAAATTTGAAATTCAATATTTCCGATTTAAGGCATTTCTCGATGTTGTGAGTGCCGAAACCGGTAATTGTGAGCCAGGGACCCCATTTTGGCTATCTCAACTCAAATCTAATGTTAAGGTGGGAGGGTCCCTTTAAATAAGTTAGGTTAGGTCATTTATTGTGGCGATTATCATATAACCTACATTCATGGGCAGTGTGGCAATGTGAAATTAGCCTCACTACAAGCTCAATTTTCTTTGCATTTGTGTCTCCTGTTCCAAAGCAGTAACCCTGTGAATGATGTCTATTGTCAGGGATTCCAATGGTTTCCAATGTTGCACATTGTCATGCACCTGTATTAAAGGAAAAGGGCCACCTTCGTGAAATATGAAGATATCGTTGTTTTTCATTTTGACATTATTATTTTTCATTTTCTTTTTAAAACTGGTGCCAGAAGTGCACAATTCGCGAAAAAGTATTTAAAACTATTTAACATATTGGTACTATGTTGATACTCTCTACGGCACCTACTGTATGATGGCATAGCGATGACGTCACACTCAAGCCAATCAGCGTTCAGAAGACAGACTCGTCGGATTGTGTCAGATAAGCTGATTGGTTAAAGCTGAGCTGGTTGGAGCTGATTGGTAAAAAACCAAAGCCTCGCCGCGGGTGACTGTATTGTCGGATAAGAACGCATTCCTGGGATAAGGACGCATTCCTGGCGTATTTTCTTTTAAAATTGCCGATAACTACGAATGGAGGCCGAAATCGGCCGTAAGGAGGTAGGCAGATAGGTTTTCGGACACGGGCTACAAGATGGCTATCTCAGTTTCAATCCCCATGTTAAAGGTGGCCCTTTTCCTTTAAGGCCACGCGAGTGTGTTTGTGCGTCTGTGTGAGCTCGGCGCGGTGTCTCCGGCAGCTGCTGATCGAGCCGTCGGCGGGGATGGCCGTGGCGGCGGCACTCTCTGACCAGCTGCCGCCGCAGCTCCGGCGCGTCGCCGTCATCCTCTGCGGCGGTAATGTGGACCTGGACTGCCTCGGCTGGCTGGCAGCGGCCGACGGCCAGCCCGCCGACCGCCCCGACACCCGTCTGGTGAACGACTGCCAGACTGCCGGCCTCTCAGAGCACGGCGACCAGTGAAACGCCGAACCGAGCGGACCGACCCGTGAGAAGTCAGCGGAATAATCTGTGAGATGTTAGCGGAACAGCCTGTGTGAGCTGTGTGAAGGAAGCGGAGCGACTGATCAGCACGATCAGTGAGTCGGCGATCGGGCAGTGCCTGCCGCCGGCCTCCCCGTGACTGGGCGGGACTACTCGTATCCGCTCTGTCTGGCGGGTTAGGCAGGCGGGGCCGGTATATCACTACAGGCGGCGGGTCAGCCTGACGGCCGGTCGCGTCTAGTCTCCCGCGCCTCGCGCTGGATGCGCTCCGGCTGATTTCTTGCAGTGGGCGTTGCGCTCTGTGATCACGTCTCGTCGCCAGGCAGCTGAGTGCTGCCGATCAATATACGCACAACTGTCAGCTGCCTCCCCGCAGGTACTTGTCTGCTCTGGCTGCTTCTTCGTTTGTCCTGTTGCGCCATTACGGTACTGCGCGCATTTTCTATGCTGGCACCCAGCATCGAATCTCAAAAGATGTATAGTCTCTCTTCAAAGTATCGCGTCCTGGGCTGCGGCGGCTCAGCGAACTATTCCATTCAGTTTGAGGACCCCAGTAGGGAGGTCATGGCCTGTATCATAAAAAGTACGCTGTAACACGATTTCACGCCAGCGGTAGAAGGAAAACTGCTATATGACGCAGGCCCCAGCGGCTGACAACTGGGTCAAAACAGTCGGAGGCCGGCCAAAGGTCATGCTCGTATTGCTCTCTCTTGACCCCGTCCACCGCCCCAGGCGGATACCGGTGCCTCTTGGGCTCACCAGCCGGACGCTCATTGGTGTGCCCAAGGGTGTGCCTTACTGGGCGCCAATCACTCAGTGTGCGTGACGCGGAAAATCACAACGAAGCGAAGTTCCCCCATACCCCTTACTGTGATGAGGCCTTCTGAATGACGTAAACAGTTCTTGCGGGGGGAAGCCTGGCATCAAATAAGTCTTTAAAAAGAGCATGGCTGAACAGCATTTCTTTTCTTTTTTTTGTCGCCATTCACTAACCGGCTCATTAAAAAGAGAGAACTTCAAAAACAGGACTAAATGTCTAGACAGCGAATTGGCGAACTGGCTAGAGAGATAATTATTGTTTTTGAATCCGCTTACGAGTGCATGTGCAAGCACGGATGCATTCTGTTAGCGGGTGCAACTGATGATTTTTTGGGTATATGGGCACGAGTTTCCGAATTTTACCCCCCCCCCCAAAAAAAAGTGACAGTCGGGCCGATGACGAGTCAAATTGCTAACTTTGCAATGAACAAATCCCAACAAATCCTCTGCGAGTAGGGTGGCTTCCGTTGACCACATGCTTAGCTGCCATCACAAGTTACCGGATGGCGACTACCACCTCCCCCTATCCCTCCGCAATCCGCAACCACTCCCCTCGCCCCGCCGCGCCGGCTGCCTCCGCGTGTCAGACTTCGGTCAGTGCTACCAGCGGCTCTCAAACCTTTCCGTTCAGCCATGGCTGGGACAGGTGGCGCCTTCCCTCAGAGTCGCGATACTTTCAAGAGAGACTATACATAACTTGGCCCAGTTCGATTACCCCCGCGCCAGGGTCGTGGTTTCTATGATACTATTCCACATAGCGACGCCGACACGAGATAAACGGCGTTCATGGCAATCGAAAATCAAAATAACAAATTTCATTTTTAGATCAGGCCGTCGATAAGGTCAGCAGCGGTCATAAGGTCATTTTCCCGAGTTTCGCAATCTTGGACAATGAGACTCTAACTCATGAACTAAGGGCGGATCCAGAAAGGTGCTATTGGACATTGCGGGGGCATTCCTCCCCAAAAATTCCCTGAATTCACAGAACTCGTCGGATTTCGATTTCTTGCGCATGCCTGTGGATTCGCCCCAGTGCAGTGGGGGGGGGGGGGCATATGTTACCACCATGTCGCGTTTTTTGCGTGTGAATAAATAACCGCGGCGCGTAGCGCCGCGCCGCTTGCGGTAGCTTTTGGTACATCAATTTTGGACAATGTGTGAAATTTTTGACCCCAGGTCATGTCAGGTCAGGTCACCAGGTCAAGTTAACTGACCAAGCCTAAAAAAGTTTGCAATCATGTCCAGCCTGCAGTGTTTGTCAGAAAGGTTTTAAACTTGGTGGATTGCATGCTGTTATGGGCACCTACAATTTGTATATCTCGGATTTTTTATATCCGTGACCTAAGGTCAGGTCAGTGGCGTGACTTTCCATTACAAGTCAATGGAGAAAAATGAAAATGCCTCTAGATCCGTGTGTACGCATAGGAACAGTCCAAATATTTCAGAACCACAATGATTTTGTCCACTCGTGATGACCAAGGTGTCATTTTTGCTGATAGCCTCTAGAAAGGTCATCCGAGGTCATTTGAGGCTACAAACAGTTTTTTTGCCAATAACTCGCGATTGGAAAGAGATAGAACGCTGGGGATGGTCTCATTGTGTTTGTCTTGTTAAGACGCATCGACTGATATGCAACATGACCTTTTCCGATCAGGTCATGACCTTGACCTGAGGTCAAATTTTGAAGTTGACCTTTCAAGGTCAAATTATAGTTCATTCGACGCGTCTCGGCGAGGGGAACACGATTCTGGCAATAGAAATGTCGTGGCTTTTTGTATTCGAAAGTTATTGTCGAAAAACAATTTTCGTAAAAACAGCTATTTTTGGAGTTTTTGCCCTCTGGAGGCTAAACCATTGACCTGAGGTCAATATTGATTATGACCTTTTCAAAAGAAGAGTTCAATAGCTATCGATTGCTCTTCCATGCGTTTTTCTAGCTACCGTAGATCCTGAGATAGCGGCATGTTTTCTGAAAAATATAATGACAATTGGCAAATTTTGACCTTTGATGACCTCTGGTGACCCCAATATTGCTCTAAGGTGAAAAATGACCGAAATACTTTCAAACGTACGCATTGAGATTTATCGACAGCTTTTTACCGCGTCTTTGTATCCCTCTTAGTTTTTGAGTTAGAGGTAGGTGGTAACATATGCCCCCCCCCCCACACACTAGGGCGAAGTTGGCTGAGACCGCCACTGGGCGCGGGTTAAACCAAAGTTCTGCTAGTAAAAAGTGAAGTTTTCCCTCTATCCTAGAAAAACGACAAATGTTAGGTAATGGTATTCTGGGCGCACTGCGAGGAAGTAGGGACATATTTGGTCCAAAATAGCCGTTTTCACGACGGAACTTTCGCGGCGGAACCTATTTGATACCTGGAAAGTACCAACCCTTTAAGGCCTTAGAATCCTTACAACAGTGGCGGCGCCACGAATTTTCGCCAGTGGGGGTAAGCTTCAGGTGACCCGACTGTTGTCTGATTACCTGATCTGCAAAATCCATGAGCTCCTTGCCCCTAGATGTTGCCAATTAGAAATTATCATGGTTTCAGGTTTCATGCATACGTATTGAGCTTAAGCAATAACCCTCCCGGGCCCGGAACGGGGGGGGGGGCGTTTTTCGCCTCCCCTGGCGAATATTTGCGATACCACATGAACGCTTAGGAGTAGAAATACGAAACTTGCTGTACCTTATCCCCCATTAATTTGAAATCTTTTGAAGCAAAACAAATTGGACCTAGCCTTCTTGATAACGTCTCAAGGCCGATTTTTTCTAGACTCCTGCACGGCAAACTTCGGCGTCACAGACGTGAACTTCAACCAGCTACCACAAATAGAGTTTTAGAGATAAAGACAAATAACGAGCACCGTTGTGTAGCATTTGACCTAGAAAAATACGTAAGTAACTTTGGTGACCTGAGGTCAGAGGTCAGGTCAACGACCCCGAGCTAAGGCATTAGTTTTTTTTTTCGCAAATAACGTCCACAAAAATAGTCCTAGAGCTACGGCAGCGGTAGGTACAGCCCACCGCTAAAGTAATGTAGGGTTTTACCAATCTCAACGGTTGGCTTTGACTGGCGATTGTTTAATGCGGAGTGATCGAAAAGAAGATGTCAATAGCTAAAGTTGCAGCTGCAAGGGTGACGATACATATAAGCTACATTCAAAGTTTCATTGTAGTCTGGCTAATCGTCCCTAAGCTTCAGAAGCAGAACATACCCATGACTGAAACCCCACATTACTTCTGCTGTGGACTGTACCTTCGCATTCGTCTCGTCGAGACGCGTCGAATGACATATATATTGTTTGGAAAAGGTCAAGTTTTATGTTGACCTCATGTGACCTCGAATGACGTCTGGTTGACTTTGACACATGAAAGGTTGTTAGTGATGATTTCGTAGCCGCGGATCACGATTCTGGCATCCATTTTGCTCTAAGCATTAATTTAGAGCCTCAGGATGGCAAATATGTCTTAATTATTATGCCTGACTTAAATAAGTGAAATAGCCTCTAGCAAAGATACTCTCTTGTGACTTTGACCTTGTAGCAGCCTTGTATCGTAAGCTAAAGCACAAGTAGGGGCCCGCTAAGCTTCAAAACATTTCAAAACATCTCTGAATTTAGTATACAAGGTATAAGAAAAAGTGCAAAGTTTGATCACGACCGTGACCTTGAATTTGAATGGTAGGTCAGGTCAAGTGCCCCAGGGCACGGTTCAGTTTTTGGTGAATAACTTCGCAAAAAAACGGCCGCAGAGCCGCGATTTTGGCAGCATCGTGTTCGCCTCGCTCAGGCGCGTCAAATGATATACTTTTTGTTCGGGTCAGGTCAACTTGGGGTGTTGACCTCAGGTCAAGGTCAGGTCAGCACCCCCAGGTCACGAAGTTGGTCGAAGGAGGTCATGTCGCATATCATTCGATTCGGCAGGTCCTCCTGAGTCCATTGGTGGCTTTCCCGACTCGCTAGCTCAATTTGATCAAGAGTTATTGACGAAAAACTAATATGACCTTGATGACGTCATAAATGACGTCACGCAAGGTCAACATTGCAAAAGTGACGCATCTCACCTTGCAAGGAGTGCATCAAATCATGATTCTGTGTGCTTGAGATAGTTGGAGATCGTTCCCGGCGCCAGAATAGCAGTTTTCATTTTTCCCCATTGACTTATAATGGTGAGGTCAGGAAAATGACCTGACCTCATATGACCTTTAGGAAAAATCCGAGATAAACAAATTGTGAGACTCATAATGGATACTAGATCCAGCAAGTTTCATTTCCATGTGACATCTCCTCTGGCAGTGAGGGCGTTGCGAAGTTGCGACATCTGAAGACCGTGCAGAGGTTCACTTATGACGGCATAGGTCAGTGACCTGACCTGACCCAAAAATCCGGTTGGTGTCAAAAGATCCGGCTTGGATTAAAGGTCAGGTATGCCAAGTTTCAGCTCTCTATCGCCAGCGTGTTCGGAGCTATCGCGAAAAAACCCTATGGGGGGGGGGGGCGGCACCCGCCCCCCCCCCCCTCGGCCGGCGAGGGTTAACTCCA